TACGAGGGCAGCTTGCAGGTAGCAACATTTGTTAGTGCTAGTAAACATGCTGTCATCTAATTAAAATGGAAATTAAAGCATTATGGCATTATGTAATTTATATAGTGATCACAGAAAATATTATAGTTTCTATGAAAATGATTGTGAATGATGTGAAATGGCACACCCCTAACTGTTAGCATCTTAAACCCAGCTCCAGTAGTTTGTAAGCCTTTATTGTGGTCTTAGTTGTCTGTGACGTGGTTATTTTTGCAGAAATATTTTTGCTGGACTTTGACCTCCGGAGGCATCAGAAGGGCAACCTTTTTGCTCCTGCAGCTGCTGATGAATTTATCCCAAAAAAGATTTGTAAATAATTAAGTGTGATGTGAAATTTAGAAAAGTACAGCCCCTTCTGGGATTAAAACACTGAGAGTAACACAAATCATCTTCAAATACTGAGAAATCCAACTGCTATTTAATTATTGTCACTGCAGAACATGAACCAACTGTGTTGTGTTTTTGTTTCTGGGCTGGAGAAGATCCTAACTCAGGCTCTGGAGGCAGGAGGTGCAGAAAATATTACACTTTTATTAATAAAACAAAATGTGCTGCTCCTGCTGCTCTTGCTGCTGCAGGTACTCCGGAGACCATAAATCAAAACAGATCAACTTGGCATGACAGGGTTGGCGAGAAGACCTGACATGAGAACCAAACAGCAGAACCGGGATGAAGATCTGACACAGAACTAAAAGGCGGAGCCTGTATATAAATATACTGATGGGGCAGAGCAACACGGGGAATACGTGATAATGAATAAACCAGAGACGAAACTAAAGAAATGCTGCAAAAACACACAAAAAAAAGAAAAAAAATCAACATGAGTCTTAACAACAAAACCACAGTTTGTTCAACTTAAATACAAAACTTCTACCCGAAACAACTGTTATCATAATTCACTGTTTTGTGTTAATTCAGTGCATTTAAAGGGCCTTTTGACCATCATAAAAGGTTTTAGTTTAAACGGAAATAATAATTACTACCATACTCGTTGTTGCTTGATTTCTGAGTGATTTTCGAAGCAGCTGTATAATCGACATCAGGTGTATAATGACTGGACAAAGGAGCAACATGCCCCCTAGTGGCTGGCTGCAGTACATGTTTAAAGTCCCACCCCTTAAAGAGAAGTAGCTGTATCATCAACAAAAATGAGAAGTGTCACAGAGTCTCTGAGCTGCAGCAAAACAGGATGTAAAAACTGCTATGCAGACGACACCCAGCTCTATCTGTCATTTCCACCGGACGACCACAATGTCTCTGCACGAATATCAAACTGTCTCTCTGACATATCAAAATGGATGAAATCCCACCATCTCCAACTCAACCTCTCTAAAACTGAACTACTTGTCATCCCAGCAAAACCATCCATACAGCACAATATCTCAATCCAAAATGACTTCCTATCTCTGGCTCCTTCAAAGGCAGTTCGAAATCTGGGTGTTGTGATTGATGAACACCAGACCTTTAAAGATCATGTTGCCTCTGTTGCTCGTTCATGCCGCTTTGCGCTGTATAACATACGAAAGATCAGACCATACCTAACACAACATGCCACCCAGCTCCTGGTGCAATCTGCTGTCATCTCCCGCCTCAATTATTTCAACGCCCTTCTAACTGGTCTTCCAGGCTGTACCTCTTCAAATGGTCCAGAACGCAGCGGCGCGTCTGGTCTTCAATCAGCCAAAAAGAGCACACGTCACCCCTCTGTTCATTGAGCTCCACTGGCTACCGCTAGCTCCACGCATCAAATTCAAATTGCTAACACTAGCATACAAAGTCCGAGATGGTACGGCTCCCATCTACCTGAATCCTCTTGCAAAGGCTTACGTCTCGGCCCGGCCGCTCCGGTCATCACAGGATCGTTGGCTAGCAGTGCCTACACCACGCTCAGGACAATCCAGACTCTTCTCATGCATCGTTCCACACATGTGGAATGACCTACCAAGCACTACCACAACTACGGCTTCCTTTTCAATTTTCAAGAAACTCCTAAAGACCCTGCTCTTCAGAGAGCATCTTCTAAACTAGCACCCCCCCCCCCCACCCCTCTCTCTCTCTCTCTACTGTCCACTCCTTTGTTCCCTCCTCTCCATGACTGATGTCAAGTTGTTGTTGTTATTGTTGTTGTTAGCCTCAAGGGCAATATGCCGAGTATCACTTGTAAGTCTGTTTGGACAAAAGCGTCTGCTAAATACATAAACATAAAAACTGAGTAAGAAGCAATGGATCTGCGCTTTTCAGTGAACGCAGACACGGGACGTGGACCCTGTGACAGCCAGGACAAAAAGGAATGTTTTTCTCTAAGAGGAAGAGACCCAGATGGACACGGCCATTGTGAAGTTGAGGTTTAGGTTTGTGGATTCCTGTTGTTGCTGCAGCTTCCTGCAATGTCAAGAAAAACATTTTCTACTGCCCTCAAACATGAAGTTATCACCACCAGTGTTAGCATTTCCTGTTCTAAAAGCAGGAACGTTTATCTTAATGAGTCCTAATTGTGTTAACAGTTATGCTCATCCCCTTTAATCAAACCACTGGTTCATTAACTCCTTAATCAAAAGAAATTCAGGCATTAATTTCTCCATTCACCCTTCGAATGCCGCTCACTGGTGTTGTTTTGGTTTCACCTCCACCCTTTATTACTGTTAACTGCTAAAGGTGGGACTATTTTCACGATTAGTGTAGATATAGAGATGAGTAAGCCTCAGAAAGCTTTTTAAGTCACTTTGTCCTTTTAAAGGTTTTACTTTTGTATTTCAGTGCTCGGGATTTTCTTCACATTTGAGAGCAGCTTGTATTTCTGAGCACAATGATAGCTCCATTTTTCCTCCTCTCCTCTCAGACCTAAGAGGTATTCAGGTACGATGGTGGGAGTGGAGGGTAATGACGGTTCAGGTATTATGTGCTGCACGTTGTTTTGTTCCTCGGGTGAAGTTTTATCAGAAATGGAGCCGCGTTTCTCAGCCTGCTTTTGTCACAAGTTCAGCTAATTACAGCCTTGCTCCCTTTCACCAACACAACGAAACTACACACACCTGATTGAATTTTAGATAAAAATGTGATTAAGGGCGGTTAATTATTAAAGGTCAACTATACTGACATTTTTAATACATTTGCTGTGGTCTCTAGGAGGAACAAATGCCTTGTAAGTCGTACTCTGGGGGGAAAAGCTGTGGTGTGCCTGTTTGAGTAAGACTGGAGGAGAAAGTAGCTCCCTCTTATTTTGTGATATTTGGACATCTCACCTTTGATTGAATAACACGACTCCACCGATTCCGCTCTGCAACGTTGACGTTTTGCTTCCACAAATAACACAAACCTGGAGGAGTTCTGCCTGTGGTGGAGTAGCTAATGCTAATGGTTAGCTTCTACTAGTGAGACGTTCTCTGCTGTTTCCTGGACGCTAAACCAACAACAGCCATCCTCGTTTCAAGTTGAGATGGGTGAGTCCATGAATGTTAAGTGACAGTGTGACGTAGATCTGCGTGTTTCTAATTCTAGAGTTTAAACGTTTTCTATCAGGAGCTAATGCAGAAGATAGGTGCTGGAGACTATTTTCAGCCTGCATGAAAACTCAGAGTGACCCATTATAATCAGAAATATCCACCTATCCATTTTCTTCCACTTATCGGGTCACGGCGGCAACAGCTTAAGCAGTGAGGCCCAGACTTCCCTCTCCCCAGCCACTTGAGCCAGCTTCTCCTGGGGAATCCTAAGGCGTTCCCTGGCCAGCCGAGAGACATAGTTCCTCCAGCGTGTCCTGGGTCTTCCTTTAGGTCCACTCCCGTGCCCAGAAAAACCCCACCAGGGAGGCGTCCAGGAGGCATCCTGACTAGATGCCCAATCCACCTGAACTGGCTTCTCTCAATGTGGGGGAGCAGCGGGTCTACTCCGAGCCCCTCCCGGATGATCTTTTGGTAATCATAATCAGTAAAAAACTAGTTTTTCAGTGATGTTGACCTTTAAGCCACATATGTGATAATTTAGAGGTTTTTTTTTTAGTAAGATAAACCAGACTAGAAAACTGTCTTGTAGGACAAGTGTGATTCTTACTGGCCACCCCTGCACCATGGAGAACTCAATTGTTTTGCAGCTCTTGTGCAAAGTGGCTTCCTAACTCCAGTTGGATAGAATATAAGACATTTTCCTGGCACATTTATCAAGCACACCTGTTAGATTGCTCGTTAACAGAGTATCAGCAGCAAGCTGTTTCTAGACACGGTGAAGACGACCGGAAAACTGGTTCATGCACAACAATATCAGAGGTCAGAGACTAAGACTGGTTCTATATGATCAAACAACATCAGCAGCTCAGATCAGCACCAAGGTCTGCAGAAGCACACCATATATGTGTGTGTGTGTGTGTATATATATATATATATATCTATATATATATATATATATATATATATATATATATATATATATATATATATATATATATATGCATTTGGCTCTGGGTTACAGCATTTCAGGTCCCTTCTGCTGTAGAGTTGCAGCCTACTGATTCAGGATGAAAAAGACCAACCTACTCTCTCTGATGGCTTCCACCTTCTGGAGTGACACAGCAGCATCCTCAACAAGGCCAACACACGCCTTAAACACAAATCCTGCCTCACTCGGGCTGTCACAAACACCCATTAACTTCTGCTGTGGGATGGAGTCTGTTTGGTCTCTTTCCAACCATAAATATATTAGTGGCTGTTGCTGCTGCAGGGCTCTGATACACAAGAACTTGTTTTACAGGTGGGATGTTGAGAGACTGTAAAGACATGAGGTTAAAGGTGTAATTACACCTGCAATGTTAGCTAAATGAATATCTGAGCTCCTAGCTCACTTTTCCAAAAAACAACGATTCCATCAAGTCTCCCATTGAGACGCTATTTTCCATAAAACAGCCACATTTTAAATCTCATTGCAGAATCATCTCCCGGTGCTTGCATCATTTCCATATCACTTCTTACCGCTGGAGTTTTTGCCACAGATGAGGTGCTGGTAGGGCTGCAGCAGACCCCACATCTCCGAGTCGTTGCTGATGGCTTGCTCCAAGGAGTCCGGCGTAATCTTTGGGATCCCGTTGTCCCTCTCCACCAGCGCGCTGCGCAGGACGCGGGTGAGCACCTCCCTGAACAAGCTCTCCATGCATGCTGTCAGGTAGATGGCAGCGTGCTCGTGGATCCTCAGGGCCACTCGGCTGTCCACCATCCACCTGAAGAACCTCCCCACGGAGAAGACCAAGCCGCAGCGCGCGGACTTCCCTCGGCTGAACTTGTCTCCGGTGCTCATGTTGTAGAGGGACAGCGCGCTGAGAGCCGCCGTGATGCAGTTAACGGAGATGGTCCACGACAGCACCACCTTGATGGCGCTTTGGATCTCATGTTTGGTGCACTTGGCGTAGCGCAGGCTGAGCCGCTGCGCCTCGCGGGCCACGCGCACCAGCGCCCGGCTGATGAGAGTTGACAGCCGCGCCAGGACCTCCGGTGGCGGGTTGCCCACCATCAGCTCCACGTCTTTCCTCAGTGCGCCCTCCACCTCGCCGAGGCTCCATGGCACCTCCTCCAGCTCGGGCAGCTTGGCGGAATGTCCCGAGCACTCCAGAATCTCCGTGTCCTCCGCCAGGACGGTGTTGACTGTGTCCAAACTGTTGTGTCTGCTGTGCATGGATTCTGTCAGATGCCAGTAGTTACCTCCATGCGGGATGGACTGATGCGTGTCGGAGCAGCAGAGCGACACGCTGGACGACCTGACCGAGTCCGCGGCTCCACCATAACCAGAATCTAGCGTTAAATCCTCCAGCGTCCTCACGACTGTCTTATCCTTGCCTGCCATAATTGCACCGCATGCTGTTGGGTATCCTTGGTCTCTCAGTTAAACACAAACTCGTTTCCCATGCCTGATCTCCGCCTCGTTTCCCTCTGCGTCAGGAGCGAAGCGCCAGAAGTCGGTCTCTACTTTCGATCCTCTCTGATTGACAGGATTTCCTTGATCTCCTCAACTTACTACTGATCGGCGCATCCAGAGAGCGCACGAAGCGTCCGCGCACACTGCAACAAGCGCAGGAGAGGAGGAGGAGCTTGCAGACCCCCACGAAAGGAAAACCAGCCAATACATGTATCCGTTCAGCTTTGACGGACTCACTCGAGCTACTTGCTGCCTCTCCGCACCTGGCGGGGGTCTCCAAACCAACCTGCCGTTTGGAGGCAAATCCGGAAACCGTCTAGAGGAGAGGAAAACTCCCTCTTAGGGAGCTACCAGCAGGGGCGGAGCTAGAATTGTATTTCTTACGGCAGCAAAGATGGGGGTCAGAGAGTTTTTGCAAGAAAAGTTTATTTTAGACATTGTTCAAACAGTTAATTAAACTTTCACTTGTCATCTACTTCTTTAGCAGATTTTTTCACACATTTTAAAAATGTTTTTGAATCTATATTTATAGTTTTAGAGTCTTTTATACATTTTTTAACTATTAAAAACATTGGAATAACATATTAAAGAGAAGGGCTATTAATGTAGTGAGTTCATTCTAAACATCTGTAAGTGGATGTCTGACTCAGGCCCCCAAAATTTTAGGATGAAAATGAAGTCAACAAGGAAGTGGCAAACATTGCACCCTCATCCAATAGAGCTCTGGGAGTTGACGTCACTTCTCCCGGCATGCAACAGTTCAAATCGAAACGGCGCCATATTGGCAGGCAGAAGCCGGCAGATGGACTATTTGTTATTGTCAGAAAACTCAATCAAACGGGAAATATGGTAGATTCCTGTTGTGCCCCAGGATGCAGAACAGATGCGGACAACATAAGGAATGAGCCATCTACAGGATTCCCCAAGATCCGGAGCGCCACAAACGTTGGATCATCGCAATAAAACGCGCTAGTGACCGGGCTAAAATGAAGCTGTGGGATCCCGAGAGTAAAGGTTTTCGCTTATGCAGCGATCACTTCATATAAGGTACTTAAACCAACGTTTCCTCAACTGTATATGGTATTTATTTTAAATGCTTTTATTACGATTCTTAGTTGGCTTTCTAAACTTATTTTGGCGTGGCTTTTTCTGTCATTACTCATAGCAACAAGTAAACATCATGTAAAACATTGCCTCGTGATTTCTGCGTGCTGCCGTTTACGTGTTTTACGATCACAGTAATTAACCGGCTAAGCTGTATTTCATTTTTAAGCAATGGTTGATCAATTGTCAGATCACACATAACAAGCACTTTGGATTGCTATTATCTGTCTCACCGAGACAGTTCCAGAGACGCTCCTGCCTGACATATTTATTTTATTCACGGAAAAAAATCAAACTAGTGATTTATCTTGGCGTTCAGTTTATACATTCAAACAGCACAGCACTATATTTAAACTTCTTACCTGTAAATCTATGTTATTTGTCCATCCATCCATTCTCATCCGCTTATCCGGAGTCGGGTTGCAGGGGCAGTAGCCTAAGTTGAGAGGCCCAGACTTCCCTCTCACCAGCCACTTGGGCCAGCTCCTCCGGGGGAATCCCAAGGCGTTCCCTGGCCAGGTCCGGTAAGAAGTCCGCTCCGACAGCTTCCGGCATTTTTAAAAAGTATCCCAGGGGCACGGTAAGGGTCGGAGATGTTTTGTCTATTTAATTTCTGACTATATAAAACGATTTCTTCGGTTTTAAAGTGTGAAGTAAACTCAGACGAAGTAAAATCCAAGCCAATCCCGTTCATTTTGTTCACATTTGTTGCCTGCCAACATGGCGCCTACTCTCTGAGAGTCACGTGACGTCCGGAGCTCTATAGGGGCTGGCACCAGAAGTGAGCAAATCTTCATTGACTCCCATGTTAAAAAGGCCAATCTCACAGAAGAAATAAACTGGTTAAAAAATACATTTTAGGTTTAGTTCGTTACATTCATGACAGCTCTGAGGGGATGAGATTTTTGTAAATCTTCTATTTAATTGTAATTTACTTAAAATTCTGAATAATTAATGAGCCTCAGAGCCACATGACTTCAGAGCTAGCTCCAGGAAAAGGCCTTAGCCTGGGTCTCGGTCTCACGTTAATAGATATTCGACCATTTCGACCCACTGAACTTTAGTTTTGTCTATGTGTTTGTATTTGAATGTTAATCATTGAATCGTGTCGACACGGAGCCGGAAGCCGAGTCAACAACAGTGGACTCGCGAACCTTTGACCGCGATGGGCCAGCGAAGCCTGATATCATCGGTCTGCTTACCTAGTTACGATTTCGTTACAAAGCATACCGGAGGAACTTTCACTTTGGAGTCGCTCTACCGTGTTTTTCTTCATAAAAAAAAGGCTGGAAAAACTTTTTTAGCATCAGGTTAGCATGTAGCTAATGTTCCGTTGATCTCCGACCGTGGAACATTAACTGATGTAAAAGGCCACGGTCCCTGGCTACGATCACTGTGGTCTGAGGCGCTGCTTGTCCATAATAGATCCCCGCAGATGACATGCATGACTATAGCCTAGCACGAAAGCCAGGCGGCTATGCGGGTTGGCCCCAGGCCCTGGAGCTCCTTCTTTGCTTCTTGGGTTAGCTAGCAGCTACAGTATATTAGTTTATTTGTTCCAACCGTAACAGCCCCAACCTCAGCTCCAGCTCATTTCCCAGTTTTGGATTGTCTGGGCGTGACGAGACGTGTGACACGGTCAAAATGACAGTGGTAGGAACCTCCCATTTGGAAACAAAACCTTATAGTTCATCTATAATGATGAATGATAAATGTACTGCACTTGTATAGCGCCTCTCAGAGTAAGGACTCCAAAGCGCATTCATCCATTCACACGCTGGTGGTGATGAGCTACGATGTAGCCACAGCTGCCCGGGGCGCGCTGACAGTGGCAAGGCTGCTGAGCACAGGCGCCACCGGTCCCTCCAACCACCACCAGCAGGCAAGATGGGTTAAGTGTCTTGCCCAAGGACACAACAGCAAAATTCTCTGTTCAGAGCCGGGATCGAACCTGCAACCTTCCAATTACTAGACAACCCACTCAACCTGTTGAGCTACTGCTGCCCCGTTTGAGCCCCAGAATGAGGAGAAACAGGCCTTAAAAACTTGGATGGAGAAACTGCGCCACAACGCAGCCTGGCGGGAATGCGGAAGTGGCGCACAGGTCACCAAACAAAGGACAAGAAGCTAGAAGATCATGCCGATGTTTACTAGATAAACCACGCTTTTAGAGAAGTCTTACTCTCATCTGGATTTCTGCTCGTTTACCTCTTTTCCTTCTACGTTTTCCCGGGACCGGATAAACATCACTGGCGCCCTGGTAGGAATCGTCGTTTGGCACCGGGCCAGTTCACGTAAACAAAGAGGGAGGTGCATCTTGGGCGATTGCGAACGAACGGAAGGATAAAAGAGTCTGGCGATCATAGGAGATGGTAGCAGGGACACTACTGAAGAGGATCGCAGACAGGAGCAAGGTGGAAAAGAGGAGGTTAGTGGAGAAAAGTTTGAAAAAGTGGCCAGTGACCGCTGCTAAGCCAAGCACAGGCGCCATCTTGTTACCGACCGGAAGCAGTGTCAAGACATGAGATATATTTAATACCAGGAAGATTTGTTAGTTTTCCAAAGCACTATTCTTGTGTTAGCTGTAATCCTTCAGTGTTATAGAATAAACGATTAATAAAGTCTCATTTAGCCTTAATTTTCAGGTGAACAACAGCAGTAAGCATCTAGCTAACGTTAGCTGACTAGGAGGTGCTGCTGATGGACACAAACACAATACAGCTAAGTTATATTTACAAAATACAAACATCAAAAATGCTCAAACTTTCTTGTGAAAAGTAATCCTCAGAGCTATGGTCTCAATAGTCCGCCGATTAAAGGATGGTATGGTATAGAGTAATGGTCTATGTCTATGGACATGATCAAACTATGACGAGTCATGCCGAGGTTGCTTTCTGCTCCACAGGTAACGTTTACCATAATGTTTTTTTAAACTATCAACAGTCGCGGCGATAAGATGTAAAACCACTGAAATGTATATTAACTGACCCCTAGCATAAGTAAACCACACACTGCCACTTTTAATTAACACAACAATATTTATGAGTATTTATGGTTATTGATTCATAATTAATGTAGTATGACATAGTAAGAAAAGTATATATATTTAATTTAATGACTCAAGTCAGGTGTCCAAACCTTTCAAGAAAAGGGCTAAAGTCATCAATTTAGAATTCCTCATTAGCCACAATGTGATTTATTTTCCCACAATAATAAAAAAGATATAAATTATTTTATGGGACCTACTTTCATTATTCATACCTCTTAAAATATGTCTTACACAATAAAACACCAAACACGTTTTTATGTTATTTCTGTGTTTCTTTTCTTTTTCCATTGTTTTTTTGTTCTTGTCTAACACGCAGTGTAGCAAAGTTTAATCTTACTTTAAGTTACCAAGAGCAGCCTAACCTATCAGCAGAATAAGGTAAAAACATCAAAAGTAACATGCTAGAGTGTCCCCATCACTAGCCCTCTGGAAAATTCTAGAAATTAGAACGTTCCAGAGGGAACGAGACAGCGCTAAGCATCACTCGCTGTTTTCTAGGTCCAAATGTCTTCTGATGTCCATGACTTCAAATGGTGTTTTTCTTTTTGGGACTCTGGTAGTTTTTCCTAAAGTTGGAGTGGTAGCAGCTGGCTGTTTCTCCTTCTCTGATGATACTGAGTGGAGAACCTCTCACACCAGTGGTGTTCTGCTGCTAAATACATGTTTTTAATGAGTGGAGGACCCAGGAAAGTACAGTTCAGCAAGACCAACATTTGGATGGTCCAATGGTTGCTTTCAATCTGAAACGTGGTATTGGTGAAGGTTTTTCTGAGAACCATTTTGGTATTTTTGTTTTCATGTACACACTATATTTATAACTATACTCTGTTAGAACGTTAAGAGGCTTGAAAAAAAATATTTTAAGCAAATTTGTTTTCCAAATGCCACCCAGCTCCTGGTGCAATCTACTGTCATCTCCCGCCTCGATTACTGCAATGCCCTTCTAACTGGTCTTCCAGGCTGTACTATAAGACCTCTTCAAATGGTCCAGAACGCAGCGGCGCGTCTGGTCTTCAATCAGCCCAAAAGAGGGCACGTCACCCCTCTGTTCATTGAGCTCCACTGGCTACCGCTAGCAGCACGCATCAAATTCAAATTGCTAACACTAACATACAAAGTCCGAGATGGTACGGCTCCCATCTACCTGAATCCTCTTGCAAAGGCTTACGTCTCGGCCCGGCCGCTCCGGTCATCACAGGATCGTCGGCTAGCAGTGCCTACACCACGCTCAGGACAATCCAGACTCTTCTCATGCATCGTTCCACACATGTGGAATGACTTACCAAGCACTACAAGAACAGGGGCTTCCTTTTCAACTTTCAAGAAACTGCCGAAGACCCTGCTCTTCAGAGAGCATCTTCTTAACTAGCACCCTCCCTGCACCCGTCCCCCGCTCTACTGTCCACTCCTTGTTCCCTCCTCTCCATGATTCATCATGCTGCCTCACTGCCACCTACGACTGACTGGAAATTGGTTATTGTTGTTGTTGTTGTTAGCCTCATGGGCAACATGCCGATTATCACTTGTAAGTCGCTTTGGACAAAAGCGTCTGCTAAATACATAAACATAAACATAAATTTTTGTATTGCAGCTTTAAGGGTCATAGCATTTATCAGCTGATATTGCTTTTGTTTTGTCACGGCTCGAGTACTGTAATGCACTTTATGTTGGGCTGAGTCAGGCAGCAATGAAACGAGTGCAGAACTCGGCAGCTAGATTCCCGACAGGCTTGAAAAAGACAACGCATGTTACTAGGGGCAGCAGTGGCTCAGGTGGTAGAGCGGGATGCCTCATGATCATGGGTTCGAGGGTCATGGGTTCGATTCCAGCTCCCGCCAGGGGTATCCTGCTGTTGTGTCCTTGGGCAAGACACTTCACCCAAGTTGCCTGTGTTAGTGGTGGTCAGAGGGGCCGACGGCGCCAAATGGCAGCCTCGACTCTGTCAGACCTCCCCAGGGCGGCTGTGGCTACAAGTAGCTTACCATCACTAGCAGTGTGTGAATGTGAGAGTGTGTGAAAAAGCGTCTTTGGGTGTCTAGAAAAGCGCTATATAAGTTCAATGCATTATTATTATTATTACTCCTGTCCTGTCATCCCTACACTGGCTACCTGCGACTAACCGGGCAAAGTTTAAAGTTATGTTGTTTGTCTTCTGGGCCCTTCACGGTGGTGCCCCACCATATCTGGCTGGGTTGTCACAGATGCATGCCCCTACACGATCCTTTTGCTCAGCTGATCAGGATTTGCTCATCGTCTCACAAACAAGGTTCAAGACTAGAGGTGATAGGGCCTTTTCGGTCCTTGCTCCAACACAATGGAATGAGCTCCCACTTGCTGTCAAACTCTCCCCATCACTGCAGGTCTTTAAGAGTCGATTGAAGACTCATTTCTATCGTTTGGCTTTTATATAATATGGATTTTTAGATTTTTTGTCTTTTAACGTATCTATCTTACCATTTTAGTCATTTTTAATGCAGTTTGTAATCAGTATTTTTAATTTTTTGCTGTTTTACTGTTTTTATGTCATGTTCAGCGCCTTGGGCTTCTGTAAAAGTAGTGGAAAGCGCTATACAAATAAAATTTGATTGATTGATTGCTGATAAGTCAATAGCATCATCTGTTCTTTTCAGTTTAGTTATGTTTTTTTATTTTATTTTCTCAATAAGAATGTAATCTAGGATTTCCCCCTTATTTCTTGCATCTGTAATAACGATAAATGCTCCGTCTGAATGTGGATAAGACACAACGTTTCTGCAGCTCGACCACGACAAGCTGTTGTTTTCTCTCAGGTTCTTCAACACAAGTGATATCTTTTAATTAAGAGTTGATCCGCAGATGTTTCTTTAAGCCGGCGATGATATTTAACGCCAGATCTCTCTAAATATTTTACAGTTCAAGAACTTTGCCTCAAGCTTTTTCAGGCTGATTTTTCCTAAATCCAACACAAATCACGGACCAGTATTCCCAGGATTCTGCACCAGTTTCACAAAACAATCCTTTAGAAATAACTTATTGCTTGTAAATGTGTTTTCTTTTTCTCTTTTTGGTGAAAACAAAGGGTGAGTGAGCTGAATACTGCCGTGGTGAGAGAAGCAGTTGGTGGAATGATGATTCATCCGTTCTGCAGGGGCATCTCCTTGTGCATTGGAGCTGGAGAAACCATCTGTCCACGCTGCCTGCCATGCCAGAGGCACTTTCAGACTTTCCTTACATGACACTGCATTAGCTGAGGAACAGACTGCAGCGACATAGGAAGGAAAGTTATGTAAGACTTTCAAAATAAATGACTGACAGGGGAAAGTGTAAAATAAATCCAGCCCTTATCCTTCAGCCTATCTGCTGCAGGTGCACATTTAAAGGTGTTTGGTACTTTTACGTCAAAATCCTCAACAGAATAGAATCTCAGATTTAGAATTAATAAACTTTAAGAATGATTGAAGGCTACATAATGGTGATTATGATGCCTTTTAGTCTTATTTTTAGCTGTTTTTAATGTGTAAATAGAAGGAAAATGTGTCCCCCAGTCCGTGACATTATTTTCTTCCAGCAGTTTTGATGCAGTGCAGAACACATAGCTGACTTCCTCAGGTGAGAGTGGCAGAGGTGGGCAGCTGTCAGCAGTGTCTCTAAAATGCACCATGGTGCTCCGGAGCCTGTCTTCTCTTATTAGGCCTTGGTTGCCTGGTAACAGCAAAATTATCACGATTTTCCCAGCAAGATGATAGATCATTTGTGTTTAGCAAACAGAAGGAATGTGTCATGCAAACCTTAGTCATGCTGCACAGTCGTGTTTTTTTTATATATTTTTTTAATCATTTGGCTATCATTTAGTTTTTCCTCATCCAGAGTGATTTATGTCACAGCTAACTCTTTCTTCAGTACAAGAAAAATAATAAACTTTCCCTACAATAAGTTAATTACAATAATTATTCGATAAAAATTAAACAGGTTAAAATGAAATATAATTAATTACATAGTATTTATTGAGTTTGAGAAACAGAATAAACATGAGTAATACAACTATTTAGTAAACAGGAGTTCATAATGTAAAACTTTTGTAATGCTGTATTGTTTCCACAATTTGGTCATTTATTTACTTTGCATTGTTTTCCCTCATCCAGAGTGCTTAGTGTCATTTAAAAAAATAAATAAATAACAACATTAACAACAACAATAATAATAATAATAATAGTAATAATAATAATAGTATTTTAAAAAGTTTTTTTTTAAATATACATGTTAAAAATACTCGCCAGGCCTTTCAGACATGGTTTTGTGCTGCCCCCTTCTGGTAGGTAGACGATATTACAAACTCCCAGGCAGGATGTTTTTTGCTTGCATAATTAATTACAAGCCATTTTATGTAAGGGTGTTGTGACGCATTTCTCTGGTGTGCGTATAAAAAATGCAGAAAACGAGACTCGGCCTTTAGACTTACACAATTCCAAATAGTTTTATGGTCAACACGGCAATTTTAGTTATTTTTATTTGCTTAATGCAAAACAGCGTAACATGCTGTAATATCTATTTGCTAAGCTTAAACTTTCCAGTCATGTAATGTTGAAACTTGTTTATTATCAAGTTAAAGTTGCTTTTAAACTACAAAACCATTCAACAACACACGTTGTTCATGATTGCATGTAAACAAACCACAGTGCACACCACATTATTGTTCTCAATAACGTTCTTTAATTGTGTTCTCATAGCCTGTGTGCAGAGGTTGTTGACAATAATAAAAGTGTCGATAAACTTGTCAAAAAACGGTCAGTGTTTAATTTCCACTCTTGTGCTTTACAGCCTTTTAGCTGCCAGAGGTGAGTAGATAAACTCACAACATGTTGGGTTAATTCACCATTTGAGGTCATAAACAATGAATTTACGCCAGAGTCCACTGCACGCGCCTGCTGTAAGAGAGAGCACGCTACAGAAACGTGATCACAGCGTCAAACGCACGCAGCAATATCAGCCAATCACAGCAAAGCTGTAAGGTTTCAGCCAATCACAGCGAAGCTCGGCGTGGAGCACGTCGTTAGTTGGCGGAGTTACGGCAGTAGGTGAGGCTAGAGGTGGAGCGGTTCTCTCCTTCGTGGATATTTGGGAAAAATTCTGATAAAGTAACTCGAAAATTAGTTTAGTAGTGAGGAGTGAGAGTTGGAGGAGACCGAAGAGCGACTTTTAACAGCTAAGCGTTCATTCAGACGATATTCAGATGACGATTTTGATAGTTGCGCATTTACATAACACGCTTTCCTGGTGTTCGCGGAGCAGCCGACCCTTCGCGGTGTCATCTGGTCTTTAGCGACTCCAGCTGCTTCAAATTTCAGGCCAGTTCATTATTCTGTCGCTTACTTACGATGTGTGTTGATTACATGTCCGCTCAGGAGTTTTAGTACATGTGTGTTACATGTTTTTATCATCATTCAGAAAAACAAGTTATACAACAAACCAGGCTGCCGCTCCTGAGCAAGCTAGGTCCTAAAGCCCGCACTGTTTGTTGTCACAGTTCTGCGGCGCGCGCGCGCGCGCTGTCTCGTGCCCAAATGGTTCAGCGCTCGGCTGTTTACAAATTTTTCGACATTATGGAAAAAGTTCTGTTAGAGCAAGGCTAATTGTAAAGCTCATTTGTAAAATCGAAGGATTATTCGCGCCCGTCTTTTCCTCTACCCCCGTTCCGTAGCGCTTGGTATCTTTTGAACCATTAAACGGTGAAAGTAAACAGTTTAAGAGTCGGGATTCGTCTGTTGACCATCTAAGGCCAGAATAAGCATTCGTAAGAATAAAGGACTCTCCCAGTTGAGTAATGGTCATTAATACGGTCCACTGGTTCCGGAAGGGCTTGCGGCTCCACGACAACCCGTCACTCAGGGAATCCCTGCTGGGAGCGGACACCGTCCGCTGCGTCTACATCCTCGACCCCTGGTTTGCTGGATCTTCCAACGTTGGCATCAACAGGTGGAGGTGAGACTAAAGCAACATTATGCTACAGCCAAAGTTCATCACGTGACAAGATTTTCGTAACTGTGCAGAAAGGAGTAATTGTTTGGCATGGTGTTAGTTACAGTGTAAAGTTATTAATCTAGCTGTTGTATCAATCAAGTCCATTTTGATTTTCACAAACCTTTTCCCTAGAGTAAACAAATCTAAACAGAGTAAAGCTTATTTCTGAGTAGATTCAAAATGCATTACAATAAACAAAAAGGTAAAAATAAGACTCAACTAAGAGCAGAGATGACGTCTGTTTAGACCAATATTTCCTGTCATAGTAATTCTGTAAGAAATTGTTTGTTGCCATTAAACAGGTTTCTCTTTGTGTAAATATTTTCCAGGTTATCCAGGTAGTTGCTAAACAATAAATAATAATAAAAGCATGAAAAGTTTTAGTGTTACTTGAAAATGAGCAGAGAAAAGTTGCATTCATAATATCATCAAAAATATAGCATAAATTATGAGTGGTTTATCGCCCTTATGCCACACAGACTTCATTATTTTTGACAGAGAATATTTTAATCATTACTTACGCTCACATCTGCAGATGATGAATGTTTTTATACATTTATTCCTCTGATATTTAAGATGATTTAAAGAGTCCAGAGTTCAAAAGCACATTTCTCTCACGGTTGTTGAATATCTGTAGCTTGGGGTAACGTTGCAAAAAATCTGACCTGCTTTTCGATGTAATTCAGTAACGTAATGGCCACAGAGAAAGCTGGTTTAACACGTTGTTAACTCAGACACACAGCCTGAAAGATTAACATGCCCCATCCCTCTTTATTGTCGGCCACATATACAACACAGAACAACGCTAGCCCAAGCTGCTGCTAACGCTAACCTGAGCTACTGATAACATTCTTGTCGGACAAGAGGAAAATGGCCTAACCCAATTGAAATAATAAATATTTGTGTGTTTTGGCTGTCTGTCATTTGAGATTTATTTGCAAGTAAAAATTCAAAATGAAAGACTACAAGTCAGAGGTGGCCTGTATGATGTCATAGCCGAATCTCTTCTCCCCTGGCGTATAGCTGCTACCTTCCACATGGCCAGATTCATGATGGTTTTCTCCACAATTAATGCTCCTTCTTTAGTCCTGGAAGAAGGACTTGAATCTTTCTAAACTCACAGCCATTTTTCTCCTACTTTTTTGGTTTGATGACGTAAATTTGGTGAGACGACCAGTTGGAGTCCTCCATGTCTTTTCACACAAAACCTAAAGTAACTTTTGCCAAATATCGAAAATAAACGCTTTATTTGCATCAAAATGTTTCTTCAAAATTCATGGATGCCACCAGTGTTGAGTACTAAACCAAAAGAATTATATAACCAAGTATTCTCTGCATCTAAATAATAGTGACACACACCCTTCAACAGTTGCCACATACAGTCAGGTCCATAAATATTGGGACATCGACACAATGCTAACATTTTTGGCTCTATACATCACCACAATGGATATTAAATGAAATGAACAAGATGTGCTTTAACTGCAGACTGTCAGCTTTTGTTTGAGGGTATTACATCCAAACCAGGTGAACGGTGTAGGAATTACAACAGTTTGCATATGCTCGCTGCTTGGAATTCCGAGTTCATTGCGTCTTTTCCGGCTAACTTATCTCAGATAAACGAGTTTCGAAGACAACTGAAACGCACCATTAAGCTTGGTTTATGCTTGACGCATTCACTTTCCGCGCGGTGATGTGGCTCGCGGATGGAACGCGCTTCACAACTCGCAGCGTTTATGGTTCGTGCGGCTCGTCTCTGCGGTGAGCCAATATTCTCCCAAACTGAACGGGGCAGCATGGAGCTCTACGGCATGCATCCAACACTACACCATAGTAGAAGTAGAAATTACTGTTTACAACACGGCATTTCAGCATTTTTAACAGCGTCCTCGTCTTTTCCGACAGTGCGAGCTATTTCTCTCCAAGAATTATTAACAACATGTTGATCACGGTGATCTCTGAGAGCTGAATCATACAAATGTCTGTATTTACGAACCTCTGCCATACTAGTTCTTGCCGGTCCGCCATGTTTTTCCGCGTCCGCCCATCCGCGTGGTTAGAAATTTTCCAAGGTGCGCGTTGTGGAAATCTTGGGCCATGCGGAGGCGCGGTGGAGGGGCGTGGTTGTTAAAATGACGCAACTTTTCCGCGCGGAGCCGTGCGGACCTCGCAAGCATAAACCCAACATTTAGACTGCCTGTTGTGTTATTCTATTTGGTCATTTATTAGGGCTCCTGGGCCATTATGAGCCTCAACAAAGTTTCATCTGATATATAGAGGCTCAAAGAACAGCTTCCTAAGGTTTTGTTCATGTTTCTCACTTTTATCAACTTCTACTTTGTATTGCCACAGTTGGGATAAGGAAGCGAATCGCGGTTTTAATCCTAATATTCTGAGTAAATAACAGACTTGAGTGGGATGTTAACTATCTTGTTAGCTGGTACTGTCCTACGCCTTCCCAGCAGGGTTAACCTTCAGTGTTATGCAGAGGTGTGTGCCAGTCACAACAGTTGGCGATCACCATTTGTTCTGCTTGATCTGAGACCCAAACATTTACACAGAGGGGCTGTGAGTGGAAGCGGCTCCATCTTGTCTGAGAGATTTATGACTCAGCATGCACTTGTTACTAAACGATACCTGCCCTGAGGTTTACAGCGCAGTAATTACTTTTACTTTTGTTTCCTTCCGTGCAACTTGCAGAAGAAGCACGAGGAGCTGGGAAAGCTACAGCAGAATGAAAGGCAGGCTTGTTAGGAGCATCCATGTTATTCTTCCACCGTTACGCAACAGCAGCCTCGTGATGCAGAGCAAACGCAGGACGTTTCCAGTCCTTTCCCACTACTTATGTTCAAATTTGACACATACATGGGATTTAGTCTCTCTTCCAGTCAGATTATTCTGTTGTCCTTTTCATGTTGAAGGCTTATAATCTGTGTGGAAGGACATGGAAGAGGCTCATATAAGATTTCTGAGGCACGTTCCAAAAGCTAAATGCAGTGGGATGTTTCTAATTATTGTTGATTACTGGCTTTGCTTTTTAAAACTTACGAAGTAAACTAGTTCTGAAAGCATCTCTGGATGCAGCTGCGTTTGATTTTCCTTAACAGCTGAAAATGCTTTAATGCTCTCTTCTGACGTTTGCAGATTAAAAGCGTAGCTATATTTGAGCTCTAAGAGGTGATTTTTTTATACGATATGACATAATAAAACTTTCCCTTCCCGCTGCAGACATCCCTCTCACAGCATAAGTAGGTCAGTGTGTTAGTAGTAAACCTCTCAACTCTTCTTTTTGACCTACTTGTGCGTTGCTGCCAGCGCTGGAGACCCTGGCTCTCTGTGGTGAGCCATAATCCCGACAAAGCTGCCTCCATCTGATTTTCAAATCATGATTATACTTGGGGTTGTTGACCGAGTCCTAGCTGGTGACCCGAGGTCACTTTTGTGTCACGGGGACACTGTTAGTGAGGAGCTGCTCCGTAGAGGAGTTGTTTGTCAAAGATAAGAGGCAGGCAAGAGTGTCTGGTGTCGGAGGACAGACAGGGATGGATTTCTGTCAGCACGGTTGTACAGATTTGTCTAAGCTGCCCAGATGAACGAAGCTTAAACTGGCTGCTTTTCTTATTAGTTATTAGTTCACTGTGTCACGCTGACCTGAGGTCAGGAGAAGAACCAAACTCCGTCCCTGAACTGGGACAATCGTTTGGACCGGGGACATCAGGAGGTGATTCCCTGTTCTTCTGGAAAGGCTCTGGTTGTCGGAGACGGCTTCCAGATGCTTTTGGCTACTGGGAAAGGAGAATGGAAAAGGCTTCATGCTCAGATAGTGGAAAGTTTTAACAGTTTAATAAAAAGGAAAATCTAGTTCAATTTAAATCATCAATTTTCTGTGGAGCTACACGTTTAACATCAGCATTAATTCATAAACAAACAAATATTTTGTTAATGAGATGAACACAGTTTAATATCTCTGGTTATTTGTGATCTCTCAAGTGTACCAGAGGACTCTTAGCACAGCACACATGGCAAGAATATCTGATGAGATTATTTTAAAGCCGTTCCAGTAATCGTGTGCATCGATCAGGTTAAACTGCATGATTATCTTGTTGTGTGAGCCGGGACTTAGCCATTTATCTCCCTGAAACTTTTAGCAAATTATCTTGTGAACCACTGAACAGGTTTTAATGAAACAGCCTGGGACGTAGGTCTGCAACGGTTTAACCTTTGGTGTCTATCCAAGATGGCAGCCATGAGTTTTCTCCGCTAACACAAAGATGACTAGAACATTTCCCGTGGGATTCATTCAGTAAAGCCAACAGATACGTCATCGATTCAACCCAAACACCCAAAACTCCATCACTTCTCACATGATTTTATTTTTCAATCATGGCAGCAGGGTGAAATGAAGATGACCATGAAACGTCTATTTTAATTTTCCACCGATGATGACAGGATTCTGCAGCACTGATGCAGCAAGCCTCCACCTACATCTTTTTGCACCTGTAGCAACAATACAGGAAGCAGCACATTACTGCTGCTCCGTCTCCACATCGGTGTCGATTACCGTCTACGTCTGATGGATCCAACGTTTGTGTCCAAGCACAAAATAAATAGTTTCAGAGCAGAAGCACCACATAGATCTGATTCCTGTGAATCACTAACATGATAACAGTGTTTGAGCGGGTTAGGGCTAATGTCGTTCATGGTGACATGTTGGTGAAGAGGAGTTGGGTCGTCTGCTGTGTGATTCAGCCCTGGGCTCAGTGCTAAATCAGGAACACTGACAAACCCTGGATTTAGGTTTTTCCTTTAGGTAAATGAATGTAATAATCATTTAAAGGTAAACCTGACGTGCTAAATTCTGTTCTTGTTGCCTTTATTCTGCCTGAGCCAGAAACGGGCTCCTCCACCCACTGTCAGGGCCGCCTCTCCTGGATAGCTTATCATCTGGTCATTTAGATCGGATTCACCACTTCAGGCTCCTCTGGAGCTGCTGCCTGACACATTTCAAACCCTCTCAAGACTTGAGTTAAAAAAAGTTGCCCCTTTTTTACCGTTCTGCACCCAGGTCGGCTCTAGAGCCCCTCAGGGCTAAATGCGACACTATTCAGGTCACCACCGTCCCAAAAGGTTCTTTAAGAACTGTGACCTGGATCCAACTGATGCATCGCTGGTGGCACCGAGGGGAAAACCCAGATTTAGAGTATATCTCAGAATGTTTTTATATTCATCTGATGTCACCGAAAGGTCAAACGGTGCTGGGCTAGTTCAGACTAGAAGGTCACTCACGGGTCATTTTTAAATTTAAACAAGTGACACAAAATAGGAACGAATTTCTGGACTTTGACAAGAAAAGTTGATTTTGTTCCTTCTTCTTTGTGTTATAATTTATTTAGTTAAAAACGTATTTGAATCCGGTCTGTGATTATTCAAGCCAACAGATGAAGAACATATAGTCTTTTTTTATTTTATTGTTTAATACCTGAACTGTTGTTTTATCAAGACTAATATGCTGTTGATGCGTCGGTGTCTGTAAACGTTTTGCATTTCTGTGCAGGTGGGTTGTTCCTCTGACGTTTGTAAACGTTATCGTCTTCCTCTTCCCGCAGGTTCCTGCTGCAGAGCCTCGAGGATTTGGACGCCAGCCTCCGTAAGCTCAACTCCCGTCTGTTTGTGATCCGAGGCCAACCCACCGATGTCTTTCCCAGACTTTTCAAGGTGACGGCCTTCTGCTTTAAGCACAGCTGCACAACAAGGTTGCCTCAAGCGTAAGAATCTAATCTAGGAACTCCCCCCTTTCTTGCAGGAATGGAAAATCACTCGTCTGTCCTACGAGTACGACTCCGAACCCTTTGGGAAAGAGCGAGATGCTGCCATTAGGAAGCTGGCCTCTGAGGCTGGGGTGGAGGTGATGGTCCGCATCTCCCACACGCTCTATGACCTGGACAGGTGAGTTCAAGCCAACAAGTTGTTTCTGGCTGTTCAGCTGTTGGGTTTGTGACACTTTGCTGTTATTTCTCTTGACCAATCAGGATCATAGAGCTGAACGGGGGCCAGTCCCCCCTCACCTATAAGCGGTTCCAGACTCTCATCAGTCGTATGGATGCGGTGGAGCTTCCTGCCGAGTCCATCACCGCTGAGGTGATGGGGAAATGTGCCACGCCGCTGTCTGAAGACCACGATGACAAGTTTGGCGTTCCCTCGCTGGAAGAGCTGGGTGAGTTTAGCTCCGACAGGAACTTCTGCTCGTGTTTTCTAATGAAAGCGTTAATCTCACCTGCTCCTCTGGGAACCCTGCAGGTTTCGACACCGAAGGTCTGTCGTCAGCGGTGTGGCCAGGAGGAGAAACCGAAGCTCTCACACGACTCGAGAGGCATTTGGAGCGGAAGGTCAGTCAAATCCGTTTAGTCGTTTAAGCCCTTCTATCCTGTAACTAAAACCACCTTCAACAGGTGAACGTTGGGTTGCTACCGAGTGTTTTGTGTCTCATCATGTGACCGTGTTGCCCACAGGCATGGGTGGCCAACTTCGAGCGTCCCAGGATGAACGCCAACTCGCTGCTCGCCAGTCCGACAGGCCTCAGCCCGTACCTGCGCTTCGGCTGCCTCTCCTGTCGCCTCTTCTACTTCAAACTCACCGACCTCTACAGGAAGGCAAGTGGCTTTGACACACATGCTTTTAGTTCTTTCTCCACGTTTGGGTTTTAAGTAAAGGCTAGTCTAGATGGTTCTACAGAACTTTAATCTAGTTTGTAGAATTCTGCAGCTTCAACAGCTCTCCTGCGTGTAGATAATAATTCAAATGAGTTCACTACTAGGCCGGGCGTTTACTGTGTGACTTTGCTGATATGAAAACTGCTGGTGAGTCCCGTTGAAGCATGCACGTGTGAGCGGTTCTGGTTCTTTTGGGTCGCAGCGTTGCTTCAACAGCGTGGTACCCTCACGAGGGACGAACAAAACATCAAACGTGTTTGATATTCAATGCGACCGCACGATCGGTGATCGGGAGCTGGTCGTGAGGTGTTGTTCGCCTCTCGGTACCCCCGTATGCTACATGACGCAAATCGTCTCTAAACGGTTAAAAAATGGCACAGCTTTAGAAAGAAATGAATTATGAACTATAACTTTAATGCATCTGTTTAAAAACACTCATCAAACTGTTCGTTATGACTTAACTAATCAGGGTTTCTTCTGTCAGAAAATAATTTAGTGGTTTTTGGTTCAACTTTAAACGTTTCATGAATTCCTAAAGGAAACAACCTCCTGATTTTACAGCTCAAACGTGTCTAAATGCAAGTTCTCCAGAAAATGTGTCTCGTTGTTTTTATATAAGCAACGAGACGGAGATAAACTAGCACGTTTTTAGTGTTGGATGGTCTAAATCAGCCGCATTGGTGTCATTCTGCTGCGGAAACCTTCTGCACTTAATCATCTAAAAAGGGCGACGGTGTCAGGAGCCTTCACCAGCCTCGCCTCTGTCAGCTCGTCACCAGCAGTATGAATGTGTGTTTGCATGGGATAAAGTGCCTTGGACGGGTTCTAGGACTCAGACTAGAAGGCGCTAGAATAAATAGAGGCCATTTTTACCATTTAAAATCAAACTCGAATGGGACGTTTCCGTCTGGTTACAGGTGAAGAAGAACAGCTCTCCTCCTCTCTCGCTCTACGGTCAGCTGCTGTGGCGGGAGTTCTTCTACACGGCGGCCACCAACAACCCCTGCTTCGACAAGATGGAGAGCAACCCCATCTGTGTTCAGATCCCCTGGGACCGCAACCCCGAGGCGCTGGCAAAGTGGGCCGAGGGCCGGACCGGATTCCCCTGGATTGACGCCATCATGACCCAGCTGAGGCAGGAAGGCTGGATCCACCACCTGGCCAGGCACGCCGTGGCCTGTTTCCTGACCAGAGGAGACCTGTGGATCAGCTGGGAGGAGGGCATGAAGGTCCGTCTCATCAACGAGGATTAGAAAACAAACTAGGGTTTCTCTTGTTTACTGTGTTTTTATTTGTTGTTTGTGCTCAGGTGTTTGAGGAGCTGCTGCTGGATGCAGACTGGAGCGTTAACGCAGGCAGCTGGATGTGGCTCTCCTGCAGCTCCTTTTTCCAGCAGTTCTTCCACTGCTACTGCCCAGTGGGCTTCGGCCGACGCACCGACCCAAACGGAGACTACATACGGTGAGACGGCGGCCACAAAAACATAAAAGCCTGTTTCTGACAGAAACGGAGAGGCTGATGCTGATCTTAAACTTGGCTTCCATCCCGCTGCTCAGGCGCTACCTGCCCATTCTGAGGGGCTTTCCAGCCAAGTACATTTACGATCCTTGGAACGCTCCAGAGGCCGTGCAGAAGGCTGCCAAATGCATGATCGGCATTCATTATCCCAAACCGATGGTGAACCATGCGAAGGGCAGCCGCATCAACATCGAGCGAATGAAGCAGATCTACCAGCAGCTCTCCTGCTACAGAGGCCTCGGTAAGAGCGGGCGCCTGGAGGACAGTCGCTGCTGGGGGTTCGTATTTGCCTCTAATGAGCTGCTGCTGTTTGTGCTCTCAGGCCTTTTGGCTGCAGTTCCGTCCAACTCTAACGGGAATGGGAACAATGAGACGTTCTCGGATGCTGTGGGATTCCAGGCTGAGGCGTCCCATAAAGCTTCATCTCCGACCGGTGAGACGACCTCTCGGAGTCTTGTTTAGGACCTGCCAGAGGAAGCGAAACGTCTGTGTAGAGAAGTAAGAGGTTTACAGAGAGCATCATGTCTGGTTTTTCCTCAGCAGCCTATCAGATCCCCGTTCAGCAGCAGGGAGACTGGCAGAGTGGAGTCATGATGTACCTTCAGGGGGATCCACAGACCGGCTCTGGCTCACATCAGCAGGGTGGGGATGAGCACAAACGTCACCTTTTAGAATGTTTTTGTATGAATCTGTCATGTCTGGACTTACAAGTAGTTTTACTTGTGATTCTTTGTGAAGTTCCCAGTTATGCTGCAGGTACCAGTGTGATGCGTTACAGTCAACCCCCCCAGCAGACTGCAGCTCCTGTGCTTCAGAAAGGTAAATGAAGATTTAATGCATGAATGCAACAAGCCCTTTTTGTTAAAAATCTGTTACTTTCATTGTTTGTGTTTGGATTCAAACATTTTTACGCTCTTCTGTTCAGTTTCCAACTTTTTTTGAGACTTTTACATTTTTCCTCGTTGGCAGGACGGGTTTCCTCTGACTCGTCTGGATTTAGAGTCGGAAAGTTCTGGAAAAATGAGGCAGCTTGACGGGATTAATCTAAAATGTACATTTCTGGTCTCTGATTGGCTAGCAGCAGTTACACAAGCCAGAGCGTTTCGCTTTGTTTTGGAGTTGCTAGTGCTAATAGTTAGCTTCTACTAGCTGAGACGTGCTCTGCTCTCTCCTGGCTGTAACACAGCCGATGTGGGCGGGGCCATAAGTGCTCATTTTGTCAGTGACTTAGAAGAGACTGGCTTTTTGTGACCCGATCATTTTCCCGCCTTAGCAGGAGACTGGAGGTTTAAAGTAACCCATTAGCCATCACACACTGGTGGAATACATCTCATCTGACCCACCCCACGGAGGGGAGTAGTGAGCTGCAGCTGTGGCCGTGCTCAGGAACCATTTGGTGGTTTAACCTCCTAATCCAACCCCTTAAAGCCGAGTGTCAAGCAGGAAGGCATTGGGTCGCGTCTTTGGTATGACCCGACCGGGATTTGAACCCCGATCTCCCAGCCTCAGGGCAGACGCTCTACTACTTGGCCACTGGAAAGGTCTGAAGAAAATGTTACTGGTCAACATGCTTTTGCATATTCACCAGACCTTTGAGTATAGTTTAAAAAAACCTGTTCAAATATGTCCTTAAATATCGTCTGAAAGCCTCCATCATCCAAACCAGTTCAGTGAGTCCAGTTGCAGCCCAGTGCAGTACTGGCTTTAGTCTCTACCTAAAACAAACCACTGTTTCCTCCTTTTAGGACCTGATCATCATTCCACCGCTCAGACCAGTGGGAAGAGACACAACGAGGACTCTGGGAACAGCAGAGGCTCCAAAGTCCAGCGACAGAGCAACCACTAAAGAGTTGGTAGAACCTGATATGAAACAATGCTCTTTAGTTTATAAACCTTGTCGTCTAACAATAATCCTGTTGTCTCCTGTTCCAGGTGTTGTCACCACCACACGTATCACACTTACTGCTGCAGCACCGACCCTGTTGCATGTTGATCGCACCTTCAGGAGGGCCCCCCCACCCCCCTTACAAACATATGTCTCTAAAGTAAATCAGACTATTACTAAGAGGACTTCATACCCCAGAATGCATCAGCCTATCATTGGGTTCCTGAGACAGAAATTTTTTGTGTAAATAAAGAATTTGCTAGAAGCAGTTCACACACGACTGTACATATTTGGATTTTGTGTATGTTTTCTCTCTCTGTGTAGACATAGACCCAGTTATATATTTTTGATATGAGAAAATCATTATGATGAATTTTTTTTGTTTAAAATTTTTCAAGAAAAACAAAAAACAAATCCAGACCGTCCATACAAACAAAAAAACGGAGAGAGCTTCTTGTCTTTGATAGTACAACCGCTTGCCCCAATTTGTTCTTTTGAGTCATCATGTGTAAACAAGTGTGTTGATTGTTCTCTATCTCGGTACTTGTGAACTTGTCTCTCTTCCTTCTACCAGGTTATATAGCGCCATGCTGTTGCCCTCATCAGTTGGTTAAAAAGAGTTAAGTGATTGGAGTCGGGAGCTTTCATGTTATGGTGTAAATCCCTGATAAATACATCAATAAATGTACAAACAGGTCTGCTGTTTCTTTTTCAGATAAGATAAAACAAGATTTTATCTTTGAATTCAGCAAGAATAAATTCATCTCATTTAAGGTACAATAGTGTTTTGTTTTTGTTTTTGGGTTGGGAGGTTTAGCTGGAACAACTCCCCGTCTGCAGTATTTAGATCTACCACCAGATGGTGGAAGAGGTGTAGGATGATTGTTGCGAGGCTAATTAATAAGATTAGTAATCCGGCCTTTAGTGTAAAATAGAGATTATTAATGTTTGAGTAAAACACAGGGAGAAATAGCTAAAACTGGGTGAATTTTTTTTCATATACTTAAATTTCACATTTTCTGTTACGTTGCATCGTCTTCTTCACTAAACAGTTTTTCACACTTTAAGCTAATCCACGTGGGTTTCAATTATTCTGTAGGTATAGAAACTTTAATATGCCACCCTCCGCCGACCAGAAACCACACTTCACAGTTTTGTGGGACAGGTAGGTCCGCTAGGAGGAGCTCTACCTGCTTTACGGCTGCTGGTTGTTCACTATGCAGATAGCTAAATGCTAGTAGCAGTTAGCTGTTTTAGTTTTCTGACTTAATAAAACAACAGAAGAAGTTAAAGTAAGACAGTAATGTTTTGGAGGATTTCTGTGTTGAAACGTGAAAAGCGAGAATATGTCATTTTACAAAAAGTCGATTTTTGTCTGTAAATTAATTTAGACAGAGAGACTATAAAGGCTCAAGAGCCCATTTCAGGTGTTCTCATTATCAATCAAACTTTATTTAGCACGTAATCATGCCATATATGCAACTCAAAGTGTTTAGCAAATTAAAAAAGCCCCGCAAATCCCCCCCCCCCCCCCCCCCCCCCCCCGACATTTAAAAACAGTCTGACAATAAAATCCCCTTCACAACACTCATCCTCCAGCACACATGCACACACGCCAGAGGGCGGAAAAATCGAAAACTAAGAGTTCTCGCCACATGAAAATCATTCAGACAGAAAATGTGGCCACTGATCAAATCAAACGGCCAACTACAAGTAACTACATTAAAACGTTCATTTAAACAAAGAACAAATAGGAAAAATAAACTTAATATTCTGTTACTGGTTATTTTTGTTGTATTTGGTTTTCATTTTATTTTTGGAGTAGTTTTATTGTGAAATCCTGATACATTCCTATTTTTCCTGTTTAATACAAAAGGTGTGCCTTTTTAAAGAGTTTTAATAGCAATATGTATTTAACTGTAGTTTACTGGATTAAAAACAGATGTTTTCCAGATGAGTGTTGCCTTCACAAACACCAGACCCCAATATCAGAAGTGTTCAGAAAAAATCCAAATAAAATTTGTTGCACTTCGTCTTAGATGGCTGTAGACCACCGACTGGAGAACACGTTTGAACAGAAACTAAAACAAACTTCCAACGTATAAAAGCAGAGGAGGTGGATAAAATTAGCTCCCATCATTTGTTACTTGCCTTTAACGAGAGGCACAGTTGTCCCTGACCAGCAGCAACCAGGAGGACCCTGAATTATTCGGGAACCAGCTGCTGCCGTCATGTTTCACCCAGACATGTTTTATCAGTCCTCTCTGGACTGAGACAGACACAGACCCTCTCGGGCCACAATTACCCCGTCCTCTCTCAGAGGGAGACTTAAACCGGGGCTGAAATCTAATCCCTTGGAGATAATAACGTGTTGACCATCTTGTATATCTACAGAAGAATAACAGCAGCAGCTTTATACCAAGGAGGCACGTTTATCAAGTTAATAGGGATTCCCAGACTTTGCAGGACACCTGTTGCTTACAGTCATCCCCTCTGTCCTTTTTCCAACGACAACTCAAGACCTGGGAATATAAATCGTTGACATCTTTAAATGCTGTGCTCTAATCCACCGTGTGTTGAAGGCAGAAAACCGCTCAGTGCTTTTAAATAAACGTTTAATTACATTCCTGGGAGGATGTTCATTGTTCTGACACAGCTGGTGATCTCAACTGCAACAACGCTGCATGGTGGCGCAGTGGTTAGCACTGTTGCCTCGCGGCAAGACGGTCGCAGGATCGAAACTCGGCTGCGGCCTGTCTGCGTGGAGTTGCGTGTTCTCCCCATGCATGTGTGGGTTTCCTCCGGGTACTCCGGTTTACCCCACAGATCACAACATGCCCTATTGGTTATAAATTGTAAGTCGCTTTGGATAAAAACGTCTGCCAAACGAATAAACATAAACTCTAAACACATTCAGTTTTAGGCTTAAGCTGACCTGTTATTTGGATTTTAATGCAATAATTATGAATCACTGAATCCACCACTATATGAAGTCTTTAAAGGTGGAATATGTAAGAACGAAGTAAGACTGACACCCTGTGGTCAAATGTTGTTACTGCAGCCCCTTTTTTCTACACAAAAGTAACTTTTCACTGCTGTTCTGAGTTTCATGGCTGTTTCCAGTTACAGATCAGAGCCAGATGATTCTAGATGACACGTGAAAATGAGTCACACACAGTAAGTTGATAAGTAGATAAATACATTATTATATTTGACACTCTTGAGTGTTTTACAGTAGGGAGCACTTACTACACTTATTATGGCATAGAGGAAGTGCTGTTGTTTGCCATCTTGCTGTTAGTTCTGAATAGTGATGGGAATAAAGCCGTTCAAAATAAGGGTGTTACAAAAAAAATTTTTTTTCAGTAACGAGTAATCAAATGAATTACCATTTTCTTTTATCATAACACCGTTTCCGTTACTGATAAGAAAATGTGTGTGTTACTAATTCAGCAGTGTGGTGTGTTGAAGCCGTCATCAGCTGATCAGGAGCTGAAGAGGCGGATGTTTTCATCCAAGCGCATCACGGCCGTGAAGAACGAGGAAGACGTGATGAATAGTCTACGTATTCTTCTTGACAGCGGGACATCCCAAAGGTCTGCTCACCTGTTCACCGCTCAGACGTCATGACCTTCTACCCTCTTAGATCATCCAGCTGTAACCTGTTCCTGATCATGTCTTTAGTCCCGCTGTAACACTGATGCATCAGTCTCAGACGTCATGGAGCTCAGGTGTTATTAGAACTACCTGTGTGTGTTTACCACCCAGCTTCAGCTCTTCTGTGTTTGGGTCTGACCCAAGTTAGTACATTTAAGTCCTCCATCAGATTTGTGTCTCTTCTAGTGTCATTTTAAAGGAATAGTATTTATTTATTTAACCATTACCTGATAACAGAAATGCTACTAAAAACACGCAATTATGTGAAGGTGGAAAATTAGAATACTGTGCAAAATTACATTTATTTCTGTAATTTAACTAGACTGAGAGACCATTTAAAGGCTCAAGAACCTTTGCAGGCGTTTCTGTTTGCAATTATAAATGTTAGCTGACTGGGGTCTTGTTAAATACCACACAGTGACCTTTTAATAGTCTAGATAAGTGTAATGTTCCTGTTTGTAGTTCTCCCTTTTAAGTGCCCATTTATTTCAATTATTCAGTTTTATGAAAAATAATTGGACGTACATTTTATTATGTTCCAGTCATTTGTCTTTTATATTTCAGTATTGTTGTAATTTATTGTAAATTAAGTAAGTTAAGTAAGAGGTGAACCCATTTTCCTTGCGTTCTTTAATGAAAAAAGTAACAAAATAGTTATTTTTTATTATTAATTTGTTACTTTTATAATTTTGTTACTTGGTAAGTAGCTGAGTTACTTTTTTGACAAAGTAATCAGTAACTATAACTAATTACTTTTTAAAAGTAACGTTCCCAACACTGGTTCTGAACGAAAGAAAACGAGCTTTTCTATAGAGCCTCTCAAGATAAAAATCTCGCGGCGCTTCACAAAAACAAAAAAATTAAAATCTAAAAAAGATTTTAAAAAATGATTAAAAATATGTTTAAAATGAGAAAAAAAATTAAATAGTGATTAAAAAGAAAAGAGGGAAATCAGTAGATCCTGGGAAAGATGGAATAGGTAGAAAAAGCAGAAAAAAGAGAGGGTGATGAAGTAAAATGAAGTAAAAAGCCACGATTGACTCATTAATCACTTCACACACACAGTTTACTGTAATATTGAGTTGTTGGTGATTGAAAAAGTAGCTTTAGATTTTTTTTAGAATTGACTACTTGCTTCTGTCTCACCTTTAGCATTGTTAGCACAACATTAGCCTCTAGCCTGCTTCTCCAAACATTAAAGTAAAAAAAATGTGGTGGCTTCTTAGGTTTACATAAAAAAAAAATAACTTCTGGGCCACTCTTTAGAACATTCTGGAGATTTATGCCGGACAGTGTTGATTTACAAATATCGGCCGTGCCGCGTTAGCTCAGCGTTAGCTCGACACAGAACTTGCTAATAAACTTTGTTTACTGAAAGGAGAACAACTGACAACATCCCAGCCAACTGAAAATAAAATATGTTTCAGTATAACCTTCCTTCAAACATGACAGACATTAGACTGCTGTGTGATTATTACTCTGCAAAATTCTTACATATTGCTCCTTTAAGCATTCGTGACTTGGGACTTTTAAACCCAAATGATTCAATGGAAAATGCGTTATGAGTCGTTTACTCGAGTGCTGCTTTGTGGGGCCTGACAGCACAAGGAAGCATCTGTTGTTTCCGAAATAGTCTCTGATTTTGTCCTTACAAAGGAATGAGGAGCCCGTGGGGGGGCAGTGTGGGGGTCTTTGGGTGAGTTTTTATTACAAGACTAGGTGGAGGAGAAAATAGACCGGTCCATCTGTTCAGATATTTGCCCTGCTGCTGACCCGCAGCCTGGGGGCTGGCATGGTCACATGACGAAGGCAAACCCTTAAAACTCCCCAACATCCATACCCAGGACTCCACTCATCTCCTCCAGCTGGTCTGTTTCCACCTCCTCAGAAAGCCTGAGCACTTCCAACATGTCAGACACTGAAGAAACTTTGGAGTATGAAGAAGAGAAGAAGGAGCAGGAAGAAGAGTCCAAACCACGACACAAGACCATTTACATACCAAACATAGCTCCTCCAAAGCTCCCAGATGGCGAGAAGGTTGATTTCGATGACCTCCATCGCAAGAGGTTAGAAAAGGATTTCAACGACCTGCAGACCCTCATTGAGCAGCACTTCTCCAGCCGTCAGAAGGAGGAGGAAGAACTGATCGAACTGCGTAATCGCATCGAAACGCGCCGCTCCAACAGGGCTGAACAACAGCGCGTCCGTGCAGAGGAGGAGCGCGAGCGTCAAGCCCGGGTCGCTGAGGAGAAGTCCAGGCGCGAGGAAGAGGCGGCCAAGCTGCGCGCCGAGGAGGAGGCCAAGAAGAAAATGATCTTCTCCAACAAGTCATTTGGTGGCTACCTGCAGAAAGTGGACCAGAAGAAGAGCAAGAAGTTGACAGCCCGCGAGGAGAAGAAGAAGGCCTTGATGGAGCGCAGGAAGCCCCTCAACATCGACCATCTCAACCAGGAGAAGCTGGTGGAGAAGGTGAAGGACCTCTGGCAGTGGCTCCACCAGCTGCACGCCGAGAAGTTTGAACTAGCTGAAAAGCTCAAGAGGCAGAAGTACGAAATCCACGTGCTCCGAAACCGGGTCAGCGACCACCAGAGGGTCTCCAAAACGTCCAAGAGCTCCCGTGGGGCCAAAGGCAAGTCTGGCTCCTGGAAGTGAGGGCCTCTCTGGACCTTTTGGGTCTGTCTCTCCATGGAGCTGTGACGGAATGACTGGATGATGAATGTTACAAAATAAACAACAGTTCCCCTTTAAGGACTCCACAAAGCTGCTTTGTGCATCACCTTGTTTTTCTTCTCCATCACTACATTTCTGTTTATTGACATGCGTCTTATTCCCACGTGACCCAGCAGACACGTTCTGCTGCTCGTTTGTTGCAACTTAAAAAGCCTCCTAACACTTTTTCCCGATGGGTCTGTCAAACAGCCGCGGCACGGCTGACTCTTTATGAGGCTAAGTTTAGGCTCTGAGGCGGTGTGTTTCACACCTTCTCACACCTTTTATATCATTTAAATCATTTTTAAATTCATTAAGTAATTAGGCTAGTTAAGCAGTTTCTGTACAAACTCAAGACAATAAAACAAAAATTGTTTAATAAACGATGTGACGTTTTTTTTCCAGATTGAAGTGACATGAATTGAACACAAATATAAAAAAATATATATTTTCTTGTTTAATTAGCAGTAGAATAATGATATGGCTACATATTTTCTACACTCAGTTCGGTAAGAAAACCCTAACATCTTCATATTTTGCTTTTAAGATGCCAAAACTTTCTTCTAGAGGCTTCCGTTTACCTTTGGTCGAGGCAATTAAGAAAAATAAACAGTTCGACCGTAGAATAAATAATCCCAAAACCCTTTCGAACTACATTTCTGATTATTCTCGCTGGATTTGTTTTCCTCCACCTGTTGGATTATCCCTGATCGTTAAAGTGTTGCCTCTCCGACCACTAGGGGGCACTGTAAAACCACTTCATGAGTCAGCAAGTTTTCAAACGCTGCTCATTCACATGACCACAAAAAACTGATAAAAACAAGTATTTTAACTTGTATGATGCATTTGAATGACAAACTAGTCAAAAAGTTGTGTTTATTTAAATAAAATTAATAAAAAGCTGACATATTTGAGGGAAGTGACTCTCTTTTATGTCAGCTTCGCCTACATTTATGTAAAGTGTTCTCTTTAACAACAGCAGCTGCAGTAAAACACACATCAGACCAAGGAGCAGGAAATCTCGACCCCCTGCAGCTTTGGGTCGTCACTCTGCCCGGCCTAACTGCTGCTTTGCTCTCACAGCCGTGACAAGTCATTAAAGCCTGCCAGATGCGGTGGTATGCCCAGGGGTTGCCATGGAGACGGGGAGAGGCTGTCTCTACAACCAGGTCTTTTTTACACTAATGTGTCTTCTCATGCTCGCCAGAGCACCAATCAGCTCCCCGTCTTTCAGCGGAGAACACAATGTTCCCTCAGCTTGCTGATAAGAAGTTGTTGCAGGATGATCGTTTGTCTGCACCCAGTGCTGTTCTGTTGTGATGGATGTGGTTTATTTTTAGACGAAAGCCTTTTGCCCAGGTGAAACACGTCCCCTTTGGTCAAAAAGGGTGTGTGTGTGTGTGTGTTTTTAGCAGAACGGCAGCTGCAGGGTCATCTGGAGGACTGCTGTTTGCTCGTTAGCTCAGCAGAGACTGCGGCAGATAATACATGCATATCACGATGGACAGGTCCTGGACCGTATTCTCTACTCTGGGCAGACGCGTCCAGTTTAGACCTGATCTGTGGTTTTAATCCAAATGAAAATGAGCCAATCTCTAACGACTTACTTGTTGTTTTGCTTTAAAGGAGAATCTCCTCTTCATGCGGTGTTTTTGCTGAGAGTCAATCTGCCACTGACGCTTCTAGTTTGGTGACAAATGATGGACTTTTGCAGCAAGCCAATAGCACAAGGAGAAGATTTAAGAGTCCCATCATGAGAGGTTTTATTTTTCAAGTGATGTACAGCTGAGCTCTGCGCTGCCGCTCAAAAATGCTTTTGCTGCTTTTGTTTTGGGTATTTGTCATTGCAGCCAGACGTTAGACTTACAACCTCATTCCCCAAACACGACATATGCTAGGAATTTAAATCATCTACTGAGCAAAGAACAGTCTCAAGTATGTAGGATATTTTGATTTGGAGCACATTTTGCTCTGGTGAGTTAACCAACCTCATCAGCATTGGGACGCTACCACAGGATTGGCCTTATGTTGCCCTCTATTTGCTTTTCTTTCAAGTTTTCGCAGAATTTATGGTCCAGCGCTCCTGCCATTGACAAATGAAGACAATTATGGAAAAACACACAAAGTAAACATCTATTTCTAAAGCTATTTTACAGACAAAACCCACAAAGTGACTACTAAAGTGCCCAGCGACGTTCATAAATCCAACCTAAAGGGTTTATGGAATAAAAATGTCTTCAGTTCCTTTTCAAACCCAGGCTCCAGAACCGTTAAAGGTTCTGAGTAGATGACCTCAGTTTTCACGAGGAAAACCTTGGTGGAATCAGGTCAGGACTGTGAGTTGTTCACACCATTGATCTAATTTCTTCAGTTCCTGATTCCAGGGATAAACTTAAACGTCTGTGGGAATATGTGTATCTGTTCCTCAACCGCTGCTTTATTCTTGTGGAAAGAGAAGAATTTTTTAATGAGCGGTACAACCTCCTTGAACCATCACCTTATCGTGGTGGAGGAGTTTGAGTGCCCTAATGATCCTAGGAGCTATGTTGTCTGGGGCACTTTGTGCCCCTGGTAGGGGGAAGAAGAGGGAGCTGAGCCAGAAAGCCAGGCTCTCGATTTACCGGTCGATCTACGTCCCAATCCTCACCTATGGTCATGAGCTTTGGGTAATGACCGAAAGAACGAGATCGCGGATACAAGCGGCCGAAATGAGTTACCTCCGTAGGGTGGCCGGGATCAGCCTTAGAGATAGAGTGAGGAGCTCGGACATTCTGGAGGGACTCGGAGTAGAACCGCTGCTCCTCTGGATCGAAAGGAGCCAGTTGAGGTGGTTTGGGCATCTGGTCAGGATGCCTCCTGGACGCCTCCCTGGGGAGGTGTTTCGGGCATGTCCTGCCGGCAGGAGGCCCCCGGGTTGACCCAGGACACGTTGGAGAGGTTACATCTCCATTCTGGTCCGGGAACGCCTTGGGGTCCTGCCGGAGGAGCTGGTGAAGGTGGCCGGGGAGAGGACGGTCTGGAGCTCCCTAGTTGGGATGCTGCCCCCGCGACCCGGACCCGGATAAGCGGAGGAAGACGACGACGACGACAGTACAACAGAATTTTATCAGCAAAAGTAGGAAAAATCCTTGACTATAGCTAGAACGTTTAAGGAAAACAAGACAGGTCCCACAACAGAACCTAGAGGAACTCCGCAGCTCTGTGTGTTTCAAGGTTAAACGTAGACCAGGAGTAAGGAGGAGATCCCAACATGGAATCTGGGAATCATAATGCTTCGCTTCACAAAATGTTCTCTGGGCTGCACATGCACGATGACCATGAACATGTTCAGTCCTCACAGCTTGCATTAGACACAGAAAGGAATTAGATGGAAAAATGGGTGATTCACGATGATGACTCTTTTAGGAGAAAATGTAAGTCTGACAAACGATCAGGAGGCGTTTCTTCTTCTACTTCTCCTTCCTCCTCAGACTCAGGATCAGATCAGTAAGGCTGCATATCTGAAGACATTTTGGTCCAACAGTAAAGTTTTCTGACTTCCCTATCAAAGACAGTAGAAGTGCGAAGTTGCTGTTAGCGTCAGAAACGACACATTATAAAAATGAATGAGTGAGACTTGTAATCCTGTCATCCCCCCCCACCACCACCACCACCACCCACACTTCTACCCTCTGAAAGCGGAGCACGAGAGCTTTCCTTTCACAGAAAACACGTCATGAGGGATTCAAACTAGAGACCACAGCAGATTTGATGAAAAACAAGTCAACGAAATCTATCTATCTATCTATCTATCTATCTATCTATCTATCTATCTATCTATCTATCTATCTATCTATCTATCTATCTATCTATCTATCTATCTATCTATCTATCTATCTATCTATCTATCTATCTATCTATCTATCTATCTATCTATCTATCTATCTATCTATCTATCTATCTATCTATCTATCTATCATCTATCTATCTATCTATCTATCTATCTATCTATCTATCTATCTATCTATCTATCTATCTATCTATCTATCTATCTATCTATCTATCTATCATCTATCTATCTATCTATCTATCTATCTATCTATCTATCTATCTATCTATCTATCTATCTATCTATCTATCTATCTATCTATCTATCTATCTATCTATCTATCTATCTGTCTATCTATCTGTCTATCTATCTATCTATCTATCTATCTATCTATCTATCTATCTATCTATCTATCTATCTATCTATCTATCTATCTATCTATCTATCTATCTATCTATCTATCTATCTATCTATCTATCTATCTATCTATCTATCTATCTATCTATCATCTATCTATCTATCTATCTATCTATCTATCTATCTATCTATCTATCTATCTATCTATCTATCTATCTATCTATCTATCTATCTATCTATCTATCTATCTATCTATCTATCTATCTATCTATCTATCTGTCTATCTATCTGTCTATCTATCTATCTATCTGTCTATCTATCTATCTATCTATCTATCTATCTATCTATCTATCTATCTATCTATCTATCTATCTATCTATCTATCTATCTATCTATCTATCTATCTATCTATCTATCTATCTATCTATCTATCTATCTATCTATCTATCTATCTATCTATCTGTCTATCTATCTATCTGTCTGTCTGTCTGTCTGTCTGTCTGTCTGTCTGTCTGTCTGTCTCTAAAGCCAGGGTAGGATGAAGGGAACTAAACCCTTTAGTCTCTTTGGTAGTTAGAGTGCAACAATCAGCTGATATGAGTGATTACTGGTGAACACCACAAGATGTTTTAATAACACAGAATAGAAGCTTCAGCAGTAAAAACATCCATTTCTGTCCCTAACCAGTATTTAACCAGTCACGACACGAGTGAGCGCTCTGACTGACTAAAACCCACGATGAGCTGGGCTAAAACTAGTTCCTGTGCTCAATTGTGCAAAGTTGAGTATAGCTGTTAGTTTCAGGCCAGATGTGGGTTGGATATGGCTCGGGGCCCACCAGTTGAGAATCTGCTTGCAGAGGTAGATTTCATTG